TATGTTTTGCCATTTGCTATAATGAAAAAGGCCAAAATTATATTAGAAACTTTGAACAGGTTTGTGTGTAATCAAGGTCTTTAAAGTACACTATTCAAGGAAAACCCCACGATATGTTTTTGTTTTGAAAATTTGCATAGTCTTTGGCTTTTGTGACAAATAGACATCAACAATACAAAAACAGATTGCAAAGCTTTTATATATTTATTAAAATGAAACTTTCATTCACCTTTTGAATGGAAAAATTAGCATCTAAATTTTCACGGCCTAAACACGACGTCAAATCACCCAATTTCACGTCCTCGAATCCTCAATGCTCCGTCCTAAACTTGACCGGAAATACAAGCACGCCATGCCACGCCATTTTCACGACCTAGTTGACGTCGCATCGCACTTGCTAAAGCTCTCTAATATAATACTTTGGATGTGGATTTCTCGTCCAGGTAATTAGTATACAGGTCAGTGGTGTATATTGAGCATCGAACTAAAATACATCTGGAACAATAACTCCTATAATTTTCCTCAATGATTGGCTGAAGACAGAATACATCTAAATTTTGTCAACCCCCATGAATTAATGCGTATTCATTTCGGCGATCGATGTTCGTTTAGGCTTCTTGGCAGTAGAAAAACGTGAAAAAAGGATTTACTGTCGTTTTTTTACACATTTTTGCTTTAAAATTGCATCTAACAGAATTTGTTCATGCAACAGCAAGATATTTTGAGGAGAAACATATTCAGAAAAACTGAATGCTAAAAATATGAATGCTATATAAACATATTTGAATATTCATAGCATTTTATACACCTTTAGGAGTACGATTCACGTCCTTTTACGTTTTAGCAATGTTCCAGTTATATTATTTGTTTGATGGCTCACAGTTTTTCCTTGTTTATTTCATTATTGTTTTTGTTTCACCTACCAAGCTTTTCGGCCGACGATGATATGCATTGTTTTTATTTTCTTTTTCCCACATTATTTGCTTTACACAGACAAAATAAGAATTGCGAGTTTCTTATTTGAAAAATGTTCTGGATTATATGCATTTACAAGATCTTTCACTTTTTATGACACTGAGCTGTATGTATATTTGCAGTATGTGTATTTTCATGGCATGAAAAATGCTTTCTAAAAAACACATATTTCTCCTTGACAAATTGGTCAATTTTTCCGAAACCTTATAGGCTTGTGTATTTAACATGGAATTACAATATTTAGGTGGTTTGATCTTTCGAGTATGCCTGGTTCCGAGTATACCTGGAACTTTCGGAAACTCGTAATTTTTGACTTTGAATGAAAATTTCTTAGCAATGCTAAGACTTCTGTCCAATTTTTTTTGACAGTCTATAATTTTGACTAGTTTTCTTCAAATTAGGTGGTGTTCTAAAAAACTACAGCTAAGTTTAATTTTGCAATTTTACAAATATAAAAATGCTATTTTTGAATATTTGAATATTTTAACTGGAGGACCGGCGCGACCTGCAAATAAGAAAAAATCTTGTTTCATTTTACCCCCCTGACTTATCATTCCAGATGTATTTCAGTTCAATGATATTGAGTTAGCCTTCCAGTTGTATCAGAGTTAATTGTCGGAGTCAGATATCAAGTAGATTGGGTTCTAGGTCATTGGATTTTTTACGTTTCCTATTTTGTGACACCTAAAGTTAATATATCAGAAAATCGGATTTTGCACTATAAATGAAACAGGAAATCGGACTAGTCATAAAACATGGATGCTCATATTTTGTAAAAGCATCGAAAATCCGAAATTACATTTTGACGGTGATCACAATTGAGTTCTATAATAACTGGAGCGGCTATCTCAAGCGCGGCCTTGGATATCTGATGTCGCCAAAGAAATGGCGGATTTCGTCGGTTGCCGTTGAGATCTACCGAAATTGACCGCTTTTCCCGAAAATTCACGAAAGAGTGAGGAAAATGTAGGTGTGTATTTGGGAGTCGGCAGGCAATTTTTTGATGAAAATCAAGGTAAAATCCTTAAATTCATAACAGCGAGTCAACTGTGCTTGTCAATTATCTGCTCCTACGAGGATGCATTTATAACTATCAAGGAAGAGCTATATGTCGGTTACACATGTATGAATGCAGATGTACGTCGTTTTATTACCAGCGTTAAACTTGTTTGATCGATTAAACTCTTTAGTCTATACAAAAAAGTATATCATAGTTCATCTCCACGGTTCACGAGAGATAATTTAGCTTATTTGTTATCAGTGCTATTTTACTTCTTTTCATGCAATGGGCAATGGCTTTTTTCCGCCACAATTGTAGGATTTTCACTTGTTTCTATAAAAAAGCAAATATTAATTCTCTGGATATTTACGGATTTTCTGTAATTGAGTTTCATATGGAATTTCAAAAAGACTCAAGTCTGTATAGGTTTGGTAAATGAAAACAAACAATATTGTATAGAAATTACTTTAAGTAACCTTTTTGTGATGTTCTGAAGTGCAATTGCATCAAATACTTGTAAAGTTGTAGCACATTTTGATTTTGTTGTATTTATATATGAATTGGGCAAAATGCAAATAATCATCAAAAAACTTATGCTTCCAATGGTGTTTATAATTCAATTGTAGTTTTAGTACTTCTACCCTTTTTTTTCACTTTGTTTTTCCTATATTTGCAATATGAGTGCACAATTTAAATGATTAACACAGTTTTCATATGAATAATAATTTTCATAAGCAGTTGGTAGTGCATTTTGTTCTCTGAGTATCCACATCTGGTGTTTTGTTCATACAAGAATGATAAAGTGCAAGTAGATATGTTATAGCAAGGCAATAAAACCAAATGAACTAAATAACTTTATTGTACTTTTCTGCTAGAAGCTTAAAAGCTTTTTAGAAATTAGAAAGTTATTGGATTATATTACCTCTATATCATCAATCTCATGATAAGAAATAAGAAGCAAAAAAATTGTAGAAAAGCTTTGAAAAGTGAAAAAAACTTTTTTTAAAAAAAAGCAGGAATAATGCATATGATAAATCTCCATTCTGTACTCTAATAGCTAATAAGCTCAAAAGGTTTCTTAAAGAAATATAAGAATTATATAAAAAATATCAGTACAGTAACTTTAAAGGTTTCATCACAGAATCTTTAATGCTTCAGTATAGTGCATTAAATATTAGTAACATTCAAACATCACTCAACTATAATATTTTGATAAAGATATGACATGATTTAAACATTAAGTTATATAAAACCCAATGGCTTATACATTTTGAAGTTTCACATCTGCATCGAGTCATCATCAATCTCAGTACAAATGTTTACATAGACACAAATTTTCTGGCCTTCCCATTTTATATGTTTGTGAATTGACATTTCATTAAGCATCAAAACACACACAACCTTCTAGCCATCCTTCTTGGGTTCATGAACTTTAACTTCAAAGTATTCAAGGCATCATTAGTGAATCCATTGTCTCCATCCATAGAATTTGAACATAATCAAATTAAATAACTCTGGATAGGGCAGACAATAATCAATTATCTTTACAGCATTATCATTTTTTAAGACTCTGCCTGGTCAATAACATCTTACAGTCATCTTTACTCCTTGATCTTCCCTGCATGTTGTCAGCAAATAGAACATAACAGCTGTTTGGGCTGATCGTTTCTTTTTGATACTTACTCAAAGAGCAAAATGTGTGCAGGGTCTTTTTTGCTTTATGGAAACTATTTTGCAACTATCTCATCTGTGAAAAGCAAATTGTTCCTTTTTGTGGAAACTACGACATCCAATAATTAAACGATTGAAGTGTTGGCATTATAAAAGAAAGGCAAAAAAAGATATCGTCATAGAATATGGAACTAACGATATCCATATTCTGTGATATCGTGTTTGTTTTTGAAAAATTCTTTATAATTTACTATAGACATCAGGGGAGGTCGAGAATATAATTTTCCAGCAAAGCGATCATTTCAGTAGAAATACGTCCGTTGGCCGCCCTTTTTTGGCGACCTCGTCCCAGTAAACATAGTGTTTAAATAACTGGAATGATAACTGAAGCCAAAAAAATTTTTGTCGTCATCATTCGTCATCACTCGTGTTTCTCGCGTGATTTTAAGCAATTTGTAATATCTTTTTTCTTCGGAAAAACAGATCTTTAAATCCACTGAAATGACAAAAAAAGACAAACACTGTCTAACACCGTTTGAAAATTTACCTTCCGATGCAAGAAAAATTTTTACTTGAATATTTTCTCGTCATAGTTTTTTATTGTATTGTGTTTTTATCAGACAGTGTAATTTTCAGTTGGCTTTTCTTCGTTACAAGTTGTAGTTTACAACAAACTCACTGTAGTAAAGTTTCAGCTGAAAAAATAACCTTTTGCGGCGAGATGGCCTTTTTGTGTTGTTTATCGACATGTTTTTTGTATGTTTATGCTTTTGCAATTTGTATTCAAAATTATATTGGCCGTGTATGTTTGGCGCTCAGGGGAATGAAACTGACGTACAAACCGCGTGAATATTCGACTTTGAAGGACTGGAACTGACGTACAAACCGCGCAAGAGACTAGGACTTTGCCTTCAATTATGTATTGTCGTTATCATTCCGTAGATATATATATATATATATATACAAAGTGTATAACAATGTGCCCTCCCGGCTATCACCATAGTAAAATGGTGACTCCTGCACTTGGGACACAGGACGTACGGTTACACATTGTATGGATTGTATTGTAGAGTCACCAGAGCGCTCATATATATATATATATATGGAGTTCACTGCCTCGCCCCAGTACAGTTAGCCGCTACAGTTATTATAGAACTCAATGGTGATCACCCACCATAATATACATCCTTAGTAAGAAAATAGAACTCTTAGAAAAAGTCGTCGCGCAACCAGTTCACAACAAAAAAAAGACATTGATACCATATTGAAACATTGGTGCATTGCATTGGGGAAGATGTTGTTACGATTGCATACGGATACCTCCGATCATTCCGGAAATAAGGCTCAATGAGTTTGGGTGTGCAATATGCAGTTCGAAGTAACTTTCAGTAATGTTTTAACCGCTCCCAGCGTATTAAAATTTAATTTGCTGTATTTAACGTATATATCTTCGTAAATATGGGGGAAAATTCCAGAGAAAGCTTCGTAATTCGCGCCAAGCTTGCCGAGTCGGCTGAAAGATACGATGATATGGTGAGCAACATGAAAAGTGTTGTAAATATGGGCGAACCACTAACGTCAGATGAACGAAACTTGTTGTCTGTTGCGTACAAGAATGTCGTTGGAGCTCGTCGTTCGGCTTGGCGTGTTTTGTCAAGTAAAGAATCAAAGGTTGAAGAAGGCATTGAACGTGATGTTATCACTGAGTTCAGAGAGATCATTGAAAAGGAGCTTAAAGAAAGTTGTGGTGATGTGCTTGATCTTTTAAATAACTTCCTCATCAAGCCGTTATCGGAGGAAGGTGATTCTAAGGAGATAGAACAAGCGGTGTTCTTTCTCAAAATGAAGGGAGATTACTTTCGTTACTTGGTGGAAATCAGTAGTGCTGAATCGAGGACACAATTATCAAACGACTCACAAAAAGCCTACGATCAAGCGACCGTATCAGCGGCTCATCTTCCAACGACCAACCCCATTCGCCTTGGTCTAGCACTTAATTTCTCGGTTTTCTATTACGAGATCTGTAATAGTAATCAAAAGGCGTGTGATCTGGCAAAGCAGGCTTTTGATGATGCAATCTCAGATTTAGATAATCTCAAAGAGGATTCGTACAAGGATAGTACTCTCATAATGCAACTTCTTCGTGATAACATCACCTTGTGGACATCTGAACCGTCTCCTGATGATGAACTGATCAAGGATAACGAGAATGCCGAGGAAAGTTAAAAGTGTTTAGGCGTTATGAATTTTCAGCAATTTGAAGTAATTTTTTTTTGAAACAGTACATTGACTACGCATGTCAACATTCAATCTTAAAAAGAGGATTTAAAGTGGTTATGTATTGATTGTTCTTCACTATCATATATCCTTTAGTATATGTCTAGCTTTAATTTCATACTTCAACGTTTTCGGATAGCATGAATGTATGTAGGACAGTCCTGGTGCAAACAAGAAGTCAGAATCATTTTGAGCGTTAATGACTTTCCAGACCCCTGAGTTTGTTCAGATTTTCAAGTCAAAACAACTTTCATCTTTTGCACTCTACTTTCTCGTTCATACCCTTAGTATATATTAGAAGAAATATGATACTTAAATATGGAATAAGCACATACTCTGCCTACATTTTTGCATATGTTGCATACCTAGACTTACATTGAATACAACAGTTTTTTTCTCTCCTGGCAAAAATGTTTCTCCACCTGTAAACATTCTACCCAAACAACACAGTAAAGCACTGTGTACTGTATGTATCTTGTACTCTGATGATTAGACGGACTTTAAAAACTTAAGTTGACTTGGCTTAAAGAATTTACCATGATTGCTCAACTCTCTCTTGATCAATTACTTGACCTGCCTTAGAAGATGGCCATGTGATATGACTTGCTTATCTCCAAAAGTTTTTAGTAAATTTTTGCACCTATGGATGTTCTGTTTAACTACACTCTAAAGCAGTTTTGTGGTTATTAAAATGAGTAATTTCAAGGTATTGCATGATATTTATTTGTGAAAGTGGATTAAAAACCATTATTTGCGGTGAACAGCTGTAAACATTTCCTTTTGCACCCTTGACATGCATATGTTTTCTTCACCTAAAATTGCCAACAATCAATATTTTACAAACAGTCAAGAGAAGTATTCATCACACTTCATACACAGAAAAGCATTTAATGGTGAATCTGTTGGTAAAAGGGACAGCATGTATAAAAAATATTCAAACTGAAAGTGCTTGAATGATAATTTGAAGGCTTTGCAAGTTTTTTCAAATAGAAGGGGAAATATTACCACAACATGACACTTGAATGTACATTGAGATAACCAAGATTACAATATAAAAGTTACAGCAAGGGAATGCCCTGACTCCAAGTTGAAGCACACTTTGTGTGATAGAGACCCACCAACTTTTAAGTATTCAATCACTTTCAAGTAAATACAAGTAATTCAGTTCCCTATCCAAATATAAATGTGATTGCAGAATGGAAATACCTATTTTTTTAATCATAAACCACTTGGAACACAATCAATTGTTAATTTTTTGTCTTAACTACAATAACTTAAACTATGATGTAAACAATATAGTCTATATGGTAATAACAACAATAAATTTTGCCTACCAACTAAGTAAGACACATGGAGTTTATATTTAGTTTATGTTTCCTTTTATGTTATTCTGGTTGCATGCAATAATCATAAAGATATTTTTAATCAATAGTTCTTATTTTTTCGAACAATGATTATGTGCAAACTGCTTGTATGCAAACAAACTTAGTTTAGGCAAAGTTTTGTAAAGAAATTTCACTTCAAAAGCAAAAAATTTAGCAGATTGCATTTGGTTTGCATATCACAAATGCCACAAAACTGTTTTTCTATGATATACGATTAGCACTTGACCTCCTCCATTCAGTGTCATAGCCATCACAAGAATTGGGGGTTGGGTAAAATATTCATATGTACATGTATGTTAATGCAGTCAAACATTCACTGATATAAAATATTTTATTGAACAAGCTTTCGGCAGTCTGTCTACAGCCTTTGATGGGTTATAAAAGCTAACCCTAACCTAACCTAATTTCTAACCTCATTTCTTTTATAACCTGTCAAAGGCTGTAGACTCATATCAGTGAATGTATGACTGCATTATGTATAATCCTGATATCGGATCGCACATTTTTTCTATATTTATGTTATAATCCATAAAAAACAACTAATTTCAAAGCAAGTTAATATGGCATGACATCCAAATGTGAATTCTCCCTCCCCCCTTCAAAAAATTAATCCAAAAATTAATCCAAAAATAATGCCACTGCCATCCACAAATCGTCTTCTTGTGCAACATAAAACAAGCTCATGAGCTCTCTACCCAAAAATAAAATGTGGAGATTATTTGGTCATAAAAAACCATATTAAATTGACATGACAAGGTCAAATGACACATCTAACTGCAATTCATTAGTAATATAGTGCTAGTACAGTAATAGTGTTTGGTAGTAAAAGAACACTAGTGCTAAATATTACCTTTGATTATCAATCATATAAAGTCGCCATATTGAAGAAATTACATACAGCGATTATACTTGATGTAAAAGTTCGTACTAAACTAATGATTCTTTGAGCAAAGCAGTTCAGCTTGTATTAAAGGTACCTAATGTATAAGAGAGCGCGAGGAAATTTCCAAGGCATTCAATAAGGATGGCAGTTTTATTCAGGATCCGCCTCCATTGGTTCGGCGGTCCATAAAGTGATATTGTCTCGAAGTAGTTGCATTATCAAAGTGCTATCTTTGTAAGATTCCTCTTTCAGCTCATCTAACTCTGAAATAGCTTCATCGAAACAAGCCTTTGCTAACTCGCAAGCTTTATCCTTGTCATTTTTTATTTCAAAGTAAAAAACGGAGAAATTGAGCGCCAAACCAAGTCGAATTGGGTTGGTGGAGGGAAGTTTCTCTGCAAAAGACATTGCATTCTCATATGCCTGTAATGATTCTTCCGTGTACTTTTCTTTCGACAATTTGTCGGCGCTTTCTACTAAATACCGACAGTAGTCTGCCTTCATTTTGAGATAGAACACCATTCGTTCGATCGCTTGCAAATCCTCGTCATCCTTTAATATTGGCGTTAGGAGAAACGTATCCAGAAGTTCAACCACTTGACGACAACGCTCACCCAATTCCTCGGTGATTTTATCTTTGAAAGCCTTAACCACTTCTTTTTCCGAGTCTTTCTCACCTAGTTTATCGTCTTTACCATCCAAAACACGCCAAGCCGAACGACGAGCTCCAACGACATTCTTAAACGCCACAGACAACAGGTTCCTTTCATCAGGTGTTAGAATTTCGCCCATTTTAACGACATTTTCCATAAAAAAGACCATGTCTTCGTATCTCTCGGCTTGCTCGGCCATCTTGGCATAAATAATGTTACATTCTCTGGTTAACTCAACCATATTTACTCCAAAACAAGCAGATTTCAACAAAGGATTTAAAGGTGGGAATACGACATCGGCGTCCGAGAGTTGTTGAAAAGTACTGGATTTACTGCTTTGGAATGTGTGCGATGCGGCACGTGACCGAATCGTGAATGAAAAATTAGCAACAAAACGTCGCTTCTGCGCAAGTATTTTCAGAAGTTATCACGAAAATTAAGAAAAGCAAAACGAACAATTTTCCAGCTTCCACATGCTGTTACGGGACTAAATACACAAAGTTGAAAAATTTCTACTTGAATAAACATTCAATTTTTTTCCATAGGAAAATTTGATCGCAAAATACGCGCGTGTGAAATGAAACAAAGTAAAGTGAAACGATTCAACACAAACACGAACGACTCATCGTGTTTAGAAATGATTGAACGTCGTTTACTGAATTGATTGGACGTGCTAAGAAATGATTTGTCTTGATATGAAATGATTCGATTTATATTGCAATGATTCATTCAACTATACTTTTGTCTTCATATAACTAAACAATGTGATATAACTCAACCTGCTTTGCAATAATTTAACACGTTTTATTGAAATGACTCGTTCAGTTTGTAAATGATGCATTGTGTTTTGAAACAATTAGTTGTGATCCTAAATAATTCATGAGAATGTGAAATGATTCGAGCTGTTGAGAAACGATTCAACAAGATGTGAAATGAATCATTGTGACGTGAATGTTTCAATGCAATGTGAAATGATTTAGCATATTCTCAATTGATTTAATGTAATTTGAAGTGATTCAATGTGAAGAGAAGCGATTTAATCTAATGTGAATTTATTCAACGAAATGTGAAGTGATTTAAGGCGATACAATAATGTTTTGCTACAATGAATTTCAAAATTAAAGCAGAAGTATATCTGCACGATTTGAAGTTTGTTCCGGGAATCGAACTTTGTGTCATAAAAGGATCACAGTTTCTGTGGTTAGGAGTTGGAGAATATTTCGAATAATTTTTTAATTACTTTGACTTGATAAATTAAATTCAAGAATGAGCAATTTCTATGATGTACAAACAGCAAAGGTCGTGTGAATAATGAAAAGCAATATTCAGTAAAAATTAACTGATAATGTAGATGTAATGATAATGGACGAATTGCATGCAACGACAATTTTCAATTTAAACAGCATTTAACATCTTCAGACATCAGTGTGACAGATGTTTCAGAATTTGGCAAGTGAAGTAGAAGTTTGAATACAAGTAAACACCAAAGAACAACCTTTCAAAATAAGGCTTTACTCAACACTAAATTAAAATCTACAAAATGTCTCTTTATAAGTAATTATCTTAAACTAGGCGCGGTTACTAAGGGGGTGTACTTCATGTAATAATCACTACAATCACCCTCTCCTATTTGAAATAACTATATAATCTAAATTAAATAATCTGAATAAGACTGGTCCTGCCCGATTGTCTTTTTTTTTCTTTATTTCAATGTCATGTATATGTCAGGCGGTCGGGTTGTTTCTTTTCTCTCTGCGAGCGGCGTAACGGTAGTGTCTGTTGTGAAGACGACTGATCAGGTAGAGCGGGATCCTCTAGTAGTGAGTTCCCTTCTCTTTCCTTCTTTGGCGAACTATTATTTAGTTTCCTAGCGTCTTTTGTGGGCAAAGGAGATTAACGTGGGTCGTCTACAGTATTATCTTTATAAGGCGATAGTGGTAGCGGTTTCTCGCATAACTTCTCTTTTTCCTCCGCTTGTGGAGCGAGGAACTTAGTGGCTACGGTATCTTCTCTTCCATCAGGAAATTTTACATGCGCATACTGAGGATTTGCTTCGATTAGCTCTACTTCATCGACAGATGGGTCATACTTAGATTGTTTTACTTGACGCTTCAACAGTACCAGTCCAGGTCTGGATAGCCACGTTGGTATGGAAGTTCCACTCGTCGATCTTCGTTGGTGGATAAAGAGGCGTTCATGCGGTGTTACATTAGTAGCGGTGTACAACAGAGATCTCATGGAATGAAGAGCATCATGCAAAACTTCTTGCCAGCAGCTGGCCGTTAGTCCTAGCGCCTTCATCCCGAGGGAAATAGTCTTCCATAGAGTGCCGTTCAAACGTTCTACTTGGCCGTTCCCTTCTGGGTTATATGGTGTGTTTCGGCTTGACGAGATTCCTTTCTGGAGGAGAAAGTCTTTAACTTTTGCACTCATAAAGCCAGAACCTCTATCCGAATGTATGTAAGCAGGGATACCGAAAATCGAAAACAATTCGCAGAGACAATTTATAATTGACTCCGCGCTAACGTCTTTACAAGCGAAAGCAAAAGGAAATCTTGAATATTCATCTATTATAGTAAGAAGAAACTTATTATGATTAGTCGTCGGCAATGGTCCTTTGAAGTCCAAACTAAGTCTCTCGAAGGGTTGAGTCGCTTTTACTAAATGGAAATTTTCTGTTTTGTAATATTGAGGCTTACTTTCCTGCATATCTTGCAGGACTGTGTCATGAGCTTAATTTCATCCATAGAGAAAGGGAGATTACGGTTTTTTACAAAATGTGCCATCCGCGTTATTCCTGGGTGACACAAGGATTCATGAAGCTCTATCAGCTTATCGGAGGTCATGCTCATTGCTCTTATCCTAGAAAATGTATCCGCTGGTACATTCTCTTCTCCTGCTCTGTAGATTATATCAAAATCATAAGTGGATAGTTCCATCCTCCATCTCATTATCTTATCGTTCTTAATTTCGCTCTTTTGCTTGGTATCAAACATGTAAGCTACTGACTTCTGATCAGTAATTAACATAAAATGCATACCCGTAAGGGTAGGTTCGGCATAAATTAGCAACACGGAAACAACAAGCGGTCGAAACCCTTGACGAATACCTACAAGAACGGAAACACCTAAGTAAAGACTGCAATTTTCGTCAAGTCTCTGCTGCTCAATATCGGGATGAAGCAATTCGGGATGCTTTCATTTGTGGTCTATTGTCGGGAAGCATTCGACAACGTCTACTGGAGAATAAACAGTTGGATTTACAAACGGCATTTGATCAAGCTCGAGCTTGGGATTTGGCACAAAAATCATCGGAGACATACAATTCGAATCCCTTCACAAGCGCTGCTGTTACGGCATCTAACGGACATGGCGAAAATAATGAAGAAGGACTAAGCGAGAGGTATTTAGCCTCCACTTCACGTTCCGCTAAGTGCTTCTTTTGTGGTAATAAGCAACATTCCCGGTCATTATGCCCTGCGAAAGAAACTATTTGTAATAAATGTAAAAAAAGAGGGCACTACCAAAGAGTTTGCCGTTCTTCAGCAGTAGTCTCTAATTTAACGCAATCAGCTTACATAACTCTAGCTGCAATGGGGGAGTCATTGCTAAGTTCATGTATTGACATTCGTTTAAAAGAAAGAACTGTTACAGCTCTGGTAGATTCAGGAAGTACTCATTGCTTCATACATCCTGATTTGGTTGAGCAACTCTCATTGACAGTTCATCAGACCAAAGAAAAAGTTACGATGGCTACATGTAATTATTCAACAAAAATGCAAGGATATTGTCTTAGTGATATAACGTTAAAAGGCCAGTTATATACTCAGGTTAAGCTATATATTCTGCCCAATCTGTGTACTCATGTTATTCTAGGGCAAACTTGGCAAGCCCTGCACGAAAGTGTCACTATCCAGTACGGTGGTTCTGCCCCTCCTTTGAAACTTTGCAGTTTAACAGCTTTGCCACTCTTGTTCCAACATTTAACAGAGGGTTGTAAACCGATAGCTATTAAATCAAGGAAATATAGCCGAGAAGACAAAGAATTTATTACAACTGAAGTACAAAGGCTTCTAGATGAAGGTATAATTGAACCGAGTGAATCACCGTGGAGAGCACAAGTGGTCGTAACTAGAAACGATCGACAAAAAAAAAGATTAGTGATTGACTATTCGCAAACTATAAATAGATTCACACACCTGAATGCTTATCCTTTGCCTAGAATAGATGATATCGTCTCTAAAATCGCTTAGTACAAAGTTTTCAGCACCGTTGATTTGAAAAGTGCGTATCACCAAGTCCCAATTCAAAAAGAAGAAAAGAAATATACTGCTTTCGAAGCTAACCAGCGTTTGTAACAATTCCGTCGAGTACCATTTGGAGGAACAAATGGAGCAGCAGCTTTCCAAAGAATGATGGACAACTTTATCGCTAAAGAATGTCTAGAAGACACGTTTGTGTATCTTGACAACATCACGATTTGTGGCCGGGACCAAGCCCAGCATGACATAAATCTCGAAAAGTTTCTTCAAGCAGCTAGAAAGCGAAATTTGAAGTTTAATCAAGACAAATGCTCCTTCTCAACAACCAGTATTTGCATCCTCGGTAGTATAATCGCTAATGGAGAAATAAAGCCGGACCCGGCACGATTGAGATCTCTGCGAGAGTTACCTGTCCCCCGTGATTTAAAAGAACAGAAACGGATTGTGGGTCTCTTTTCCTACTATTCTCAATGGATCAAATACTTTGTAGCAGAAGTATGACCGCTGACACAGAATACTGTATTTCCAATGGTAGGCGATGCTCTTACTTCGTTTAATCTACTTAAGTCCAATGTCGAAAAATCTGTGGTCCAAGCTGTTGACGAAGCACAGCCCTTTCAGGTGTTGAGTAAATTGAAGTAGAAGTTTGAATTCAAGTAAACACCAAAGAACAACCTTTCAAAATAAGGCTTTACTCAACACTAAATTAAAATCTACAAAATGTCTCTTTATAAGTAATTATCTTAAACTAGGCGCGGTTACTAAGGTGGTTGTACTTCATGTAATAATCACTACAGCAAGTTGCATTATAAAAGTAGGTAATTTTGGTTTTGACAATTATGTGCAAATAACGCTGTTTTTCAAACAAAAAGTTAGAGGTTATATTTTCTGGTTGAAACTTAGTGTTTAACAGTGCAAAAGATACTGTGGTGGTCTTTGAATTGATAACCACATTACGAGAATTACATTAACAATTTGATTAACTGCATTTTATGCAGGGGTGATTATAATTGATGTTATGGGGGTGTTAACCCAAGCTTTCGAGAAATATGTATACAGCCCTTTGG